CCGGGAGGCCTGGTCATGTCTGGATATTGTTTTGGGGGAGCCAAGGCCTTCCTCTCGGGATGCCCTGGACCCCTGAGGGAATGCTAAGTGGAAGGCAAAAGAGACCACCCAGCTCCTGGGAGGAGGGTGTGAAGGGCCTGAAGGGAAGCAGCCGCCACCATTTAGACAGTCAGATTAAGGGCCGGGCTGGGAGGCCACTGGGGAACCCGGCTAGTTTTTGCCGCCAAAGTGAGAAATGGGGAGTGGCTGGGAGGAGGCCTGGGCACTGGGAGGGCCTCCTCCTCCTCCAGCTTTCCTCTAATCAAGACCTTTATGCTTTTCTAGCCCTAAAGGGTGCCCTGAGGTGCTGGGAACATCTTGAGGGAAGGGGAGGGGAAGTCTGCTGCGTGGGGTACTTCTTCCCCCGCCCCCGGGCTTTCTCTTCCACTTTCTTCAGCCATTGTGCCTTAATGAGAACTGAATTCCCCACTGAAAATATGCGGAAAGGAGACGTTCCGCCTGGAATTACTTAGGTGGAGACGGACAGAGAAGTCAGCTAATTCACCCCTGCCCCCCTCCAAAAAAAAAAAAAAAAAAAAACCAACAGCAAAGCAAAACAAAAAACACAAAATGTTTTAAGGCCAAGTTGGGGTGGAGCATGCGTGCGTGCGTGTGTGTGTGTGTATGTGTGTGTGTGTATGTATGTGTGTGTGTGTCCCACACATTTAATCCCAGCGTTCAGGAGGCAGAGGCAGGTGGATCTCTCAAGGCCAGCAAATTTGAAAGTTCAGAATTGTACATCTCTCCATTCCTGGCTCCCTGTTCCTCACCTCCCACAGCAGGGATCTTTCCTTCATTTCTTCTCCTTCTTCTCCTTCTTCTCCTTCTTCTCCTTCTTCTTCCTCTTCTTCTTTTCTTTTTTTTTCTTTTTGTCTTTTTAGAGACAGGATTTTTCTGTAGCTTTGGGGCCTGTTCTGGAACTCTCTCTGTAGACCAGGCTGGCCTCCAACTCAGAGATCCGCCTGCCTCTGCCTCCCGAGTGCTGGGATTAAAGGCGTGTGCCACCACTGCCCAGCTCATTCTCTATTTTCAATAACTTTGTGGAGCTGGTTCTCTCCTACCGTGTAGGTTCCAGGGATTGGACACAATTGACGACATTTAGGTTTACCTGCTGAGCTACCTTGCCAGTTCCATATATTTTTTGCTTGATTGTTTGTTTTTTTGTTTTTTTAATGCAGGGTCTCACTCTGTCCCAGCCTGGCTTTGAAGTCTTCCTACCTCAAAGCTTTCACAGCGCTAAGATTATATGTGAGACATACAAACAAAGCTCCTCCCAAGTACTGATAATTGGATCAAAGGTAGCATAGAATATGCCAGACAATACCTATTGCGCGCGTGTGTAGCCCAATCTGGCCTGGAACTCCCTGGATAGACCGGGCTGGCCTCTGCCTCTCAAGTGCTGGAATTGAAGGTGTGTGCTACCACATCTGGCTAGTGGTGGAATCTTTAATAGGTGAGCAGGTAAGTCTAGGGGCTGCCAGAGGACTCAGAAGATAAAGGTGTTTGCTTGCAATCATGAGTTCAATTCCCAGGACCCACTTGGGAGGAGGCGACCAATTTCTCTAAATTGCCTTCTGAAATTGCTGTACGTAGGTCGTGTGAATAACTACCTACTAAATAAACAAAAGGCAACTATAAAAGGATAAGACCGCCAAGTGTTTCTTTTGCAAGGTGGGGGAGGGGCAGAGATGCCTGCTGTAAGGACCCGATTGCTTGTGTCAAGGAGAATCTGCCTGTTAAGGGATTGTTTAGAAAGCATATGTTCAGGTTGGACCTTCTGAACTCATAATCCTTGAACTCTGGAGGCTGAGGCAGGAGGATGCTCAAACATCAGAGACCAACCAGGGCTGTGGAGCCTGTGCTGGGAAAATGGAGGGAGAAGAGGAGGAGAGCATGTTGCAGGAACAGTCAAATAACCTCCAAGTTTAATGTGTATGGGTGCTTTACCAGCATGTATGTATGTACATATGTATGTATGTATGTATGTATGTATGTGTTCCACATGTGTGCCTGGTGCCCGTGAAGGCTGGAAGAGGGCATCAGATGCCCTGGGGTTGGAGTTCTAGATGGTTTTGAGCCACCATGTTGGTTATAGAACTGATCCTGGGTCCTCTGCGGGAACAGCACGTGCTCTTTAATAGCTGATCCATCTCTCAAGCTTCACCTTTTTTTTTCTTTTATTTCTTTCTTTCCTTTTTTTGTTGTTATTGTGTTTTTGTTTTGTTTTTTGAGACAGGCCTTCTCTGTGTAGCTCTGTAGATCAGGCCAGCCTCAAATTTGCAGAGATCCTCCTGCCTCTGTCTCCCAGATCCTTGAATTAAAGGTGCACGCCACCACCTGCCGGCTATTTTTTTTTTCTTAAATAGAACCTCACTGTGTAGCCCTTGCTGACTTTGAATCCACAGAGATCTGCTTGCCTCTGCGTTTCCAGTGTTGGAAGAAGGCGTGTAGCCCTACTTCCAGCAATCTCAAAGTTGAAAGAGCATCAGACCGGACAGCCAGACTCATCCATCTTCACAAAGATGTCCTTGCTGTCTTTCTAAGCCAGCACCCTCCGTTTCCAGGCCCCATTAGTCTAAGTTAAGATCCCAGTAACTGCACCTCTAACAGGTGGCTTAACACACCCGAGTTACCTGGGGGTCTAATTCTGCAAACCTGGGGAGAGCCCTAGAGCCTGGATGTTTAGCCAGTGGATTCCAAAAAGCCAAATAGCATGCAGTTGTGATGTTTCTCTTCTTCCAGCACACACTTAAAATAAAAACAAAACAAAACACAGGGCCTCCTGTAGCCTATGCAGGATTTAAACACCTCACTAGGCTTCCCTACCCCCCTGACCTCCACTTCCCCATTGACAGGACCGCAGGCAAAAGCTACCACACCCAGTTGAAAGGGGTTTTTGTTGTTGTTGTTGTTGTTTAAAAGATGGGTGAAGCTGAGGATTATTTATTTACACGTAGAAGTAAGTGATTCAGCAAAGAGGGAAGTGGGTGTAGCAGGGGTGGGGGTGGTGTAGATGGATGAACTCGGGAGAGTGGTTCGCCTCAGATAGGAGCCCGGTACTTTATCCCAGACTGCAGGAGAGAAAGCAGAGTTTGGACAAATTTACACTTCTGTGGAGCGACTGCTGGCCTCCTAAACCATTTTCAAGACCGACTCTGTGCCTCCCGCTGTGCTCTATGATGAGCCCAGACAAGGGACACCTTTGCTGAGAAGCAGGGTGAACTAGAGTAAAGCCGCTGTCAGGGAGAACTCTGCAGTCTTCAGGACACAAGGAAGAAAATGGAGACATTCAGAATAGGAGCATGGGGATTGGTCCAAGGGGGTGGGGATTAGTTAATGGGCGCTGGTTTAGGCAGACTCTCTTGTAGCCCAGGCTAGCCTCAAATACGTTGTATAGCCAAGGGCAGTTTAGAACTCTGTTTTATTCTGTTTTTGAGACAGGTGCCTCAAAACACGTGCCACAGAGATCCATCTGTCTCTACCCCCCAGGGTACTAGGACTAAAGTTGTGCACTACCGCCCGGCTGTGAGCTGGAATTGCTAAGAATTTGTTTACGTTATTTTTAAATTATGTGTACGTATTCCTGAGTACGTGCACACGAGGGCAGGTGCCCGCAGAAGTCAGAGGCACCTGATTCCCTCAGAAGCTAGAGTTACAGGTGACTGTGACCTCCAGACATGGGTGCTGGGAACTGAACTCGGGGCTTCTGCTAGAACGGTACATGCTCTTAGCTGCTGAGTCGGCTCTCCAGCCCCTTGGTGCCACCTCTGAGTACTAGGGCTGCAGGAATCCTCCAAGGCGCCACGTCTTAGTGCTAGCATTACAAAAGCCCCCCCCCCCCGCCCCACACCTGCTTCATGCAGTTGCTGCTGAACCCAGGGTTTGAAGTGTGCTAGACAAGTACTCTGCTGACTGAACTAGTCCCTCTCTTTGGCGAGTCTCTCTCTCTCTCTCTCTCTCTCTCTCTCTCTCTCTCTCTCTCTCT